TGTGTGTGTATATATATGTATATATATATGTATATGTGTATATGTATATATATATGTATATGTATATTTTGACAATGCTTTCAGTCCTGGTACAGAGGAATGCATGGCCGGCGGATAGAGCAGCACTGTTCCACCTTCTGTCCATGTTATTGTGAATAAGTATGATGTATGAGATAGAGGTGTCATTATCAGGTTCACTTTTAGCTACAGGAAGCCTACCATTTAAGACTATATGTTCCTCTCTTGCCTGCAGCTTTTTACGCAAAGACTCACAGGCGCCACACCTGTGCATATACTGCATGTAACGTGAATGCGAGTGAGATGCGTGTGTGATGTAACGGCAATCCCAGACTCTCTGCGTGCCCCCCCCCCATATGGCCCTGCTGCTGTCTGTCTGAGAGGAGCTCGCTCTTTGTCTCGGCTTGAGGGGTGGGCGCCCTGTGTGTCTGGGTGGAGCTGGGGGCTGGCCGAAGCATAATTGGGGGTCATTGTTTCGCCAGCCCCTTGTTGACCCATGTAGGTCACGGGCCGGAGTTACGGATCAATCAAACCACGTCTGTGCACCGCCGGGTCTGCGAGGCCGTTTCAGTGCATTCAAGCAGGTGTCACCGATGAGATGGGTTGCAACAAGCTTGGCGTTACACCGCCCACGCTCGTCTCTAAAATCTGACATTTAATGCACAGATCAGCGCAACCACTGTCGCCACCTTTGTTAACGTCCAAAATAAATGCCAAACATGGTTTATTTGAAGCGGGGCGGGGGGGGGGGCTTTTGTGGCGAGGAATCCATACATTTCTTTCAAGAGGCTGGGAGACAAAGCCCTCACTGAGAGGAGGAAACTGACGAATGTTGTAGGAATCCAACATTTTATAATCAAGAAAGTTACTGATATTCTTATGCGAAGTAGTGACTCGCATGTCAATAACAGCCCTTCTACTTAACTTAGGATGCCCATGAGTTATTACTGCACTAACTGTTCCTCCTGGTTTCTGGGATGGCGGTAACTCACCGTCACTTTTCTCTCTGCTCTCTCCAGGCCCGCCCGCCCCTCCCTCTCTGTTTCAGCCTCCACGGCGTCCCGGCCTCGGCACGGTGGGGAAACCCATCCGGCTCCTTGCCAACCACTTCCAGGTGCAGATTCCCAAGATTGATGTCTATCACTATGATATTGACATCAAGCCTGAGAAACGGCCTCGGAGGGTCAACAGGTAAATCCTCACAATGGGTTTTTGGGGGGGGCGGGGAAGTTTTCTATTAGATGTTGATCATTTTGAGATGCCAGTTGCATCTGTAGCTTTAATAAACTCAGAATGCCAGAGGAGAAGTTTCAGATGCTAATAAATGGGTAAATTGGGAGAAGGAAGTATTTAGATTTTATTGCCGTGAAGTCACCAGAAATAAGTTACTGGTATGCCTGTGTTTTTGACTCACCGCCCTTTCGTCCCCTGTCTTCTAGGGAAGTGGTGGACACCATGGTGCGGCACTTCAAGATGCAGATCTTTGGAGACCGACAGCCTGGCTACGACGGGAAGAGGAACATGTACACAGCACATCCGCTGCCAATTGGGAGAGATAGGGTTGGTATTTCAAACACTTGACCCTCGTGTCATCAGCTTGTACAGCCATTAACTTGTACGTCTTTAAAAAACATTGTGAATCCTTTAGAGTTGACTGCTTTTACAACATGAGAAATTCACAAAGGGAGAAATTGTTTCCATTCATGAAAGCCAGTGATTTGTTCGTATTACAGTAGAGGTGGCGGGCATGCAACTGGTTTACTGGATTAGTGTTCGTGGTTCTGTAAGTGGAAGATTGCCAGCTGGATCAGTCTGGACGAGGAATGTGAGACTAGTACTGATCTACTAGGACCTCTAATGGAAGATAGAGACTCAGTCCTGTGAATTCTCTTATATTTCTTTACCTGTTCTGTTTATTGTGGTCTAGTCTGGCTCTTTTTTTATTTTTTTTTAAATAGTTTTTGACCAATTCGAACATCTGTTTTAACTGTTAAGTTCGGCTGGTTTGTAAAAATCTGCAGGTGTGGACAAGAACCTTTTTATAAATGTATTCTTAAAAACAACTGGTTGTAAAGTCTTTCACATTTGGGCTCCTGAAACTAGATTTACATCAGAATTAACAACATATTTCACACTTTGGCTTCTGGTTTACACCTGTGGACTGTGGCTCTACTAATGTTATGGTTTAATGTGGATCTTTTGTCATTCCAAAAACCAATTCAAGGATTTTTTGTGCATTCTCTTTATTTCAATCTACTTTGCCCTTGGGTGTTTATTGCCCTTTTTATCTCTCCCCATCACCTGTTCTTCAATCCATTTCCCTCCGCTTATCTTTTGTTTCATCCACTCCCTTTGTCGTCGTCCTCCTCCTCCTCCCTCCCCCTCTCTCTCTTTAGGTGGATCTGGAGGTGACTCTGCCTGGCGAGGGGAAAGATCAAACGTTCAAGGTGTCATTGCAGTGGGTGTCTGTGGTCAGTCTTCAGATGCTGCTGGAAGCCCTGACGGGTCACCTCAACGAGGTCCCGGAAGATTCGGTTCAGGCTCTGGATGTCATCACACGGCATTTGCCTTCCATGAGGTACCGACACCCTCCACCTCTGCCTCGTCACGAACACACCACCCGCGTCTCTTTCACATCTGTTGACAGAGTTATTGCTTTTTGTCTTTTTTTGGTCTGCGTTACTTAATTTCCTGCGGTCGTGTGTCTTTGTGCTCAAATCATATTAAAATGATTTTAAACTTCATCCTTCATACAGTAACCTGTACTAGCACTAGTCATTCCTTTCATACATCATCCCGATCCCTGTTGTGATCCCGTTGCCATCATATAGCGACAATTCTATGAGAATTTCTGCCCGCCGCTTAGCAGAAGACTGAACTTTTAGCAACATTTCCCGTCCATCTCTGCAACGCTCCGCCGACATCGTCAGACTCTCTTTTTGATAATTCCGTCTCCCTCTCTTGCGTTGCCTTGCTGTGTACGCAGTTGTTGCCAATGCCGGAATAGCAACTTTACCTGCAGGATATTCCAATGTTGAGCTAGACTTTTGTCACCTGAAGGGGCGTGCATCTGCGTTTGTAGAACGGCCAGTAGGAACTCTCTTAAATGACCTGTGATTGGCCAAAGTATCCCCGTCAAGGGCTAGATTTTCTAAAGCCTTTTTTTTTTTTTTTTTTTTTTTTTTTTTTTTTTTGTGCCCATGATCTCAAAAATATACTGCCCAGGAACTACCTCAGTTTTAAGAGCACATTTATAGACACACTTGTCAGAATTCAGATCTTTTTATGTTAGTTTGCAAACCTACAATGTGTCTCAGAATGTGTTTTTGAGTTATTGCTATATTTCACATCTGTCTGTAAAAGGTTTTACTTTTTAGCCGAAATATTTTCCATGATGAACAAATTTGAACCTTAATCTGGCTGATTAATTTGATTAATTGAGGTGTGACTCTGTTGATCGATTTCGGTCCGTTGTTCAACCTCTCTGTCTTTGTGTGCTCAGGTATACTCCTGTGGGGCGTTCGTTTTTCTCCCCTCCGGAGGGCTATTATCATCCTCTGGGTGGAGGCAGGGAGGTGTGGTTTGGTTTCCATCAGTCTGTCCGTCCTGCCATGTGGAACATGATGCTCAACATCGACGGTAAGACCTGAGTGGAGCTGGTGGCCTTCAGCTGTGATTTAAAATGTGCTTTGAGTACATTCATTTCTAAGTGTTATGTATGGGGCTGATAATTTGATGTGGGTGTTCACTGACAGATATAAGGAATGTTATGATGTCTTTAGCTTTACCCAGCAATACTTAATGTATTTGTATGCACACAATCACTGACAATCAGCTACTGATTGTGTGGAAAAACCCACAAAATTTCAGTTTCATTTCCATCAGCTACTGCCTCCTGCTATGCTTAGACTGTAACAGTAGACTCTACAAATGTCCCACTGCCATTGGTTAGAAAACATTATATGTGCTCAAATAATGGTTACATACAGCCTTGAAACACCGCTAATACTCAAATTGAACTTCAGGGATTGTATTCCATTGTGTCTCCTCTAACAATGCTTTTTTGTTGTCACCTGTTAAGTCAGTTGAAATTGCAAAACTCAGTATTTCACAAGGCCTTTTGTCACAAAACCTAGATCTATTAAGGGTGAAGAGGATAGTTGAGATGTCCGCTTGACACAAAGACCGTCTTACTCTGATACAGGGACTTACTGTCATTTATAATACTTGACTGAGATGGTTTGCTCAATAGATGGTGTTTGTTTGTATCCACTCGGTAACATTGAAGAGACTAAGTCACTCTTGTGTAGAGATACTTAGCGCTGTAAATGAGATCAGGACATTCATTAAGGCTGCATGAATGTGTTCTAAAGCTCCCTTTGTTACTTTCCAGTTCTCCAGTTTGACAACTCTCCACATGTGATATACAATATTATGGACTCATTTGGCTTGCGTGCAGTTATTGCTTTGAGGGACTGATTGGCTGAATATTGTCGCGTCTGTTCCACCCCTCAGTGTCGGCCACAGCTTTCTACCGCGCTCAGCCTGTGATCGAGTTCATGTGCGAGGTGCTAGACATACAGAACATCAACGAACAGACCAAACCACTGACGGACTCGCAGCGCGTCAAATTCACCAAGGAAATAAGAGGTAAGTACTCAAAACGCACACGTGTATATGTATATATATATGTGTGTGTGTGTGTGTGTGTGTGTGTGTGTATATGTGTATATATATATATATATGTGTATATATATGTGTATATATATGTATGTATATATATATATATGTATATATATATGCATGCCGACTGTTACCAACAAGGACAAAAGAGTCGATATTAACAGACATGCACACGTTGTATGCACAACTACTCTGACTCGCTGTGTATCAAATATCAGGCAGAGATTACAGATGGGTGTGGGCCTGCAGGGCACATGCATGTTTGTTTTTGTGCAGAATGCAAGAACTAAAGAAGCTGCACCCACTCACACATGATCATGCTGTATACTCATGACGCACACACACGCACACACTCACTCCTTATCCTACACCAATGCTGAACACTTGTTCTTAGCCGCGGGGTGACAAAGGATTGTTTCTCAAATCAGAAAATATGTCCATGAGATTCACACAAGTCCTAAGAACGGGTCTCCTGAATACAGCTTTTGTTCATAACTTGCCGATATGTTTTGAATGCAGGAAAATACTGCTATTTCAAGCAACTCCAGGCTCCGTTTGTCTTCACTCCTCTCTAAATACACAAAGAACCACGAAATAACCTCGCAGGAAATAATGTGATTGATTTATTTTTTTTTTTTTCCGATAGTGTAGAATTTCAGCTGCATATTTTCTACGACAGACGCGTGTAATCTTTCTGAATTCTCCTTTTTGGTCTGTGTTTTGGGCCGAGTCGTGACAAATGTGTAAAGGGAAGCCGCAGAGAGCTGAACACTGTCTGCAGTCGGCTGCCATGTCAGCATTTGTCTTTATCGTGGCCTGAAAACAACAGAAGAGTACGATTCCACCGTGCTAAATTTAAAGATCTCATAATATTTGAAATTGCAGTTGGTCGAAAAATGTCACTGCCTCTTCACGGGCCTCTGTGACAGTTCGCTCTTGTATGTTTGAATTCAACAGGCTTGAAAGTTGAGGTCACACACTGTGGTCAAATGAAGAGGAAGTACCGTGTGTGCAATGTGACACGCCGACCTGCCAGCCACCAGACGTAAGTGTCGACACTCGTCAGCTTGTTCACCATCGTATGTCAGCAAAGGCAACATTGTATGTGTACAGAAATGTCCTAAATAGTTGGATAGATAAAACGAATGAATGAATCCTTTTTTGTGTTTTTGTTTTATATACTCGTGGACTTTGTGTGCTTCGCTCACATTTTCCATTCATTCACAGGTTCCCCTTACAACTTGAGAACGGCCAAGCCATGGAGTGCACAGTAGCACAGTATTTCAAGCAGAAGTACAATCTGCAGCTCAAATATCCACATTTGCCCTGCCTGCAAGTAGGGCAGGAACAGAAGCACACCTACCTTCCCCTGGAGGTGAGAACAAGGCTGTTTTGATGTTTGATATATGAAAAATCATTATTTTTGTCGAGGGTTTGGCAATCCTCACCAATGGGAACATTCTCCCTTTTTAATTTCCTGCTGTGGTCCCTCTTATCTGATTTGTATCTTGGTTGACTTCATGAAATGTTCCTTCCTGCTCTGTAGGTCTGTAACATAGTAGCAGGCCAGCGCTGTATCAAGAAGCTGACGGACAACCAGACATCCACCATGATCAAAGCTACAGCTCGCTCAGCCCCCGACAGACAGGAAGAGATCAGCAGACTGGTGAGTGCGGTTTCCCTCTTGGGATGGGAGGAAGAAATGACATGTGGTTGATTTTCAAGTTCTAGCCAACCGTATGAAAGCAGGCCTAGTCCACACGCACACAGGTATTTTCTCTTTTTATTTAAACGCAGCCTTTGAAAGTGTTTTGGCCTTTCGTTTACACCCCGACTATGTATTAGGTCACTTAAAATGGAAAACTCCGGCCATGGTGAAGGTCAGAAACTCCATTTTCCATGTTGACGTTGAGCTTTTTGCTCGTAACGTCAGTGTGAACTGTTATCATCTTTTGTGACAACGGCAGCATAAATACATCCATGATCGAAGGAAGTGGCCAAATATCCAGCTAAAAGGACTTATTTCATGTGTACATGTACAGTTACTCTTCCTCTATATTGAGGAACAAAGGCGTCACAATGCACTATGGAGGTCACTGCTACATTATTCAACACTCGAAACAGACCCTTCTAGTTTTACAAAAATACCTCTGTACATGTCGACTAGGCCTCAGTCTTTCCTAAATGCCAAATAAGAGAGAAATTCACAAGACATGTCAGTGTACATCTTTTTTTATATATTTGTTCTTTTTTATTTCTCAATCCAATTTTTTCTTCTCCGTAACCTTCTCCTCATTTCCCCAGGTCAAAAGTAACAGCATGGTCGGGGGTCCGGACCCTTACCTGAAGGAGTTTGGCATTGTGGTACACAATGACATGACAGAAGTGACAGGGCGTGTTCTCCCAGCGCCCATGCTACAGTATGGGGGCCGGGTGAGTACAGACACAGGGCGAGACTGTGGCAGGGTGAGTACTGGACGGGGGCTGCACTCTGGGGTTGCAAGCATGACTGGGATCGCACAGGGTGGGGGGACATCGGAGTGAATGCTGGGTAAATACGGGGGGCGGAGATCCAGGTTTGCAGAGGTTTGATTTTTGATGATTTATTGAACAGTGGATTTATGTTTACTTATGAACATAAGGTAACCATAACCCTTAAGTTAACGACTCCCAAGGTGCATTTCTGTAAGAAACATGCAATCAAAGAGCCATAGATTCTGTTATGTTTGCCACTAACGGCAAGCAAAAGCTTAAGATTACACTGTTGTAGTGACAATACGATCTGCACCTAAAATGAACTCACTGGCTCAATTTTAGAAGAATTGTGCAACATCTCTGATTGCTTCTTCTCCATGGTAACAGCGGCTGAGGGTCATGGGTATTGTAGTATTAGGAGAGCCGTCCACTATACCAGACAGATGGACAAACAGGATTAGAAAAGAAGGGATTTTCCTTTTTGTTCAATGTGTAAATTTGAGGGAGCAGAAAAAAAAAACCTCAGGACCAGCGCCGCCTCCTCAATTCTGTATCTCTCTATACAGTATATTTATTGAGGTAGTGACGAGATAAGTATTCCACTTAAGTATATGCAGACCTGGAACTTGCCCCGTGGTGCATCTCTGCAGTCTGTTAAGTGCACCTCTTTAAATACTCTTTCCCTTCAGACGGTGTATATTGCGGTGCAGTAGATAGAGGCCGAGGTTTTTACCTGTTGCATTCAGTAGTGTCTGTAAGTGAAGGAATGGAGAAGAGGAGCAAGTCACTGAAGACTGCTGAGATTCACCCACTGAATCTCAAATCAGCATCAACAGAAGACATACAAATCTGCGTTTTGTCTGGATGAGATACTGGCCTTTGTTCTTCTTGTTCTTTTTTAAAGAAATATAGAAATGCATACCTTTTTGACTCTGACATTTACTGGTTGTTGGATGAGAGCGAGGCTGAATTGAGATTCAAGGATTTTGAATGAATGGATGTGCTTCCAACAGGAGGCCGATAAGACTCTTAGCCACCCAACATTAAAGTAAAGCCTGTCAAAGATTCACTTTTGAAAGCCCATTTATCCCCCATCTGAAAATGAAAAGGTTCATATCAATGCTAAAGGTGCTGGAACACAACACCCCATTCAGAGGCAGCGTTAAATGATTCTTCTAAGACGAGATGAAACTTTATGGATCCCTGCAGCGTAATTGGTTTAGTGTGTGGGCCAGCGTTTCCCTTTATACCCTCTGCTAAATCTACAATTGATCTTTACAGAATTACAGCAGATTGTTGCTTAAAAAACCCCCCAAAAAAACCCAAGTTCTTATATTCCGGTGCCAAGCTTAAATCCCACTATTAGCTGCCTGAACTATACGTTGGTTCATTTACCAAAGATCCTATCACAACACTCTCTTTCTGAAAGGCTTGTTGACTTGCCTGCTGGGATATCGAGTCTAATCGGCTTCCAGTGAAATGCCCTTAAATGCAGACTGAAAGCTTCTCCGTGATCACTTGCGATGAATGAAATAAACTCATTTCATTTTAAAATGGTGCGCTGATGTTTGTTGGACATAGTCGGATCAAAGTATTCACAAAACAAAATACTCCCTGAACCCTCTATGTACAACATGCGAGATGGGAGAAGCAGCTCTTTCCTGTGTAACATGCACTGTGATGGCATTTTGATATTATTGACGACAACCCGTTCTCATTTATTCGGTTCAATCCCGTGACTTTGATTATGTTGAAAATATTTGAGACGATCTTGTAATGAGGTGGAGAAGCTCCTGACTTTTCCTGGCACACCACACTCGGGTAGTTCATTGTGGTCTCTTGTTTTGGAGAATAAAAGCTCTTAATGGCCTTTGGCAAATCTTGTTACCTTAATGGAAAGCCGCTGCCCTTTTGAATTGGTATTCACGATCTCACTCGTAGTAGGAGCACTTAACTAATGAGGTGTCTTCTAATAGATGCACTACTCTCGTTCGCTGTTTATGTCAGGACTCCTGATATGGGAAGTTAAAAAAAACAGGATATTTATGTGCAATAAAGAAATTAGCATTTATCGCTGCTAAATAAGTCTCAGTATGCAATGCATGGACTGTGTATGTCATGCATAGATTAATACTTGTGATGCGTTAGGTTTGCCTGTATATGATATGTCAATCAAAGCGGGGGTTGGGCTGTAGTATCTTTTGTATTGGCTCATCCAACCGGGGGGTTGACTAAGAGGTTAGGGACTCTCTCCGCAGAATAAAACCGTGGCCACGCCCAACCAGGGCGTGTGGGACATGAGGGGGAAGCAGTTCTACGCCGGCATCGAGATCAAGGTCTGGGCCGTGGCCTGCTTCGCCCCCCAGAAACAGTGTCGAGAGGACCTGCTCAAGTGAGTCACGGCATCAACTGTTGTGGTGTCCTGTTTGGCTTTATGATGAGTCCTTTCCCAGAAATGTACAGAAGAAGGGCCAAGCTTGAGGCATGTTTAGAATTTGTCCATTACTTCAGTTTATGACGTAGCCTCATCTGAACTTTGTATTTAGTACTAGTTGGCGTGCGAACACTAAAACAAGATGGTGACCATGGTAAAACTGACACCAGCCTAACAGTAGTATGTTAGCATTTAGCTCACATCCTAAGTACAGCCTCTCAAAGCTGCTTGTGTGATTATGGTAGTCTCTTAGTCTTAATTACAACCTGCAGTTACAATGGTCTTTCTCCCTGCTACGTTGAATTGTATTAGATGTTGTCTGCTTATACTGCTGATTTCTGATGAGCGTTTAATGCTTTTTCAACAGGAGCTTCACTGACCAGCTGCGAAAGATCTCCAAAGATGCTGGGATGCCCATTCAAGGCCAGCCATGTTTCTGTAAATACGCCCAAGGAGCCGACAGTGTGGAGCCCATGTTCAAACACCTCAAGATGTCTTACGTAGGTCTGCAGCTGATCGTGGTCATCCTGCCCGGCAAAACACCAGTCTATGGTAAGAGAGTGACGAGTGACAATTTAGTATTTTAGTGAAATTGCGCAGTGCCTGTTCGGAACAGACACGTATAGACAGAGATGTCTTGCTTTCTAATTAAGTGAGGAAAAAGCTTTTAGATTGAGATCATTTTTGTGTTAGTGAACATGGTTATCTCCATATTTGTCCACAGCTGAGGTGAAGCGGGTGGGCGACACCCTCCTTGGCATGGCCACCCAGTGTGTGCAGGTGAAGAACGTAGTGAAGACGTCCCCTCAGACCCTCTCCAACCTGTGCCTCAAGATCAACGCCAAGCTGGGAGGCATCAACAACGTTCTGGTGCCTCATCAGAGGTCAGCGCGGATTTTAGTCATTTCTTCGTTTCAGTCCAGATGGGAGTCTGGAATGCTTCTTGGCTTTGAATGATGTAGACGGGTCGGATGCTTTCTGAATGCAGATAGTTCTGGTAAATCGTGTGGTGAAGAGCAATCCAAGTTGTAACAATAATCGGCATCATTTTCATATACATTTTTGTCTGGTGCTTAGACTCTGACAATCTAAGTCAGTTTTTTCTCTTCATATATTGATATTTCGATCTTTTTTTCTCACATCATTTTTCTAATATTCAATTTGTAAACCGAGAACAGCGCTGAGAACTAGTGTGCACAGGCCTGTAATGCAAAGTCTCTTCTCTTTTCTCTCTTTTGTAAGATAAGGCGAGATAAAAACCTTAATATCTCGAGGGAAATAGTTTTGCAGCAGCTGCAATAAAATGTGGGCAGAGAGGAAATGTAAAAGTCCAAGATGACGATCATCTTTGCATCCTGTTCTTGGTTCAGGCCCTCTGTGTTCCAGCAGCCCGTCATCTTCCTGGGTGCGGACGTCACACATCCTCCAGCAGGTGACGGGAAGAAGCCGTCCATCGCGGCGGTGGTGGGCAGCATGGACGGCCACCCCAGCCGGTACTGCGCCACGGTGCGAGTCCAGACGTCGAGGCAGGACATCTCCCAGGTTACCACAGTAAGTTTCCACCCCGACTCCTTTTTTAAAATGCATCACTTTGGCACGACCCAGTCTTTGTTGTTTGTTGTTCGATCTGAAGTTCACTTTAAGTTGTGTTTTTAGCAGTGCCCTGCTCCTCCAACCAATCAGGAGCAACTCTTCAGCCAGGAGGTCATCCAAGATTTGACCAATATGGTGCGAGAGCTGCTCATCCAGTTCTACAAGTCCACTCGCTTCAAGCCCACTCGAATCATCTATTACCGTGGTGGTGTGTCTGAGGGACAAATGAAACAGGTGAGGGCTTTGCGGTACTTGCGAGTCCCACAAGTGATCTACTAAGCAAGAATGGCAGCTGTGATTCATTGTGAGAGGAGGCTGTCAAAACCTGTATGTAGTTTGGATTTGCACCTTATTGTTATCTCAGACTTTTATATTGCACACTTTTATATATTCACACATATCACTTTGTATTGCAACAGTTTCCCTCGGCATAAATACAGTTTTATCTTAAAGATGACGCGCTGCTTCAGTCCAAAAATGGTGACGGCGCCACAAGAAAATGCAATGCTATAGTAGTATATCAAGGCAACGTGTTGCATAGGATACCTTTTCAAGTGTGTGTGTATGTCTTTTGTTTGTATTTTCAGGTGGCGTGGCCGGAGCTGATAGCCATCAGGAAGGCCTGTATCAGTCTGGAGGAGGATTACCGGCCGGGCATTACCTACATTGTGGTTCAGAAACGTCACCATACTCGTCTCTTCTGCTCTGACAAAGCCGAGAGGGTCAGTAGGAGTTCACCCTTCTAAGATGTGTGGTATTTAGTCGCCTTCTATTGTACAACGCCGTGTTGTGCGAGTCTTTACTATAATCCTAACTGATCATCCTCTACAGGTGGGGAAGAGCGGGAACGTCCCAGCAGGCACCACGGTGGACAGCACCATCACACACCCGTCCGAGTTCGACTTCTACCTGTGCAGCCATGCTGGGATTCAGGTGAGGGTCGCACACGTCATAGTTGAGGTTTTTACGAAACAAAAGCTGTGCGGTAGATTCAAATATTTCAATTTCGTAAGCAAACTAATGCAACTATGCATGTTGTCCAGCTCACTCCAGTTCCCCAAGTCTGGATTTAGCACATTTACACAAGAAAAGTTATGAATTATTGTTACAGCCCATTATTTCAGTCTCTCTTCAAGGATGGAGCAATTTTTATCACGATAATGATGCTTAATGACAATAAACGGCCTAAATTTGATGCGTCGTTGACCCATCAGAAGGTTTGGCTCATATTTAAAGTGATACACTGCCCACAAATGTCTTCAGTATGAGACGCTTGTTCCCTGTAAATTTACAGGAGGGCTGTATAATGGGGCTGCAGACAGACCCTTTCAGTGGTCTGTGCACATTACAGCATATTACTGTGTCACCAAGTAAGTAAAGAGCACTTCATATGAAATTGTCAGGACAGTATTGACACGTTACGTCCCTGCGTCCTCCCTCAGGGAACCAGTCGTCCGTCCCACTACCACGTCCTGTGGGACGACAACTGTTTCACTGCCGATGAGCTGCAGCTCCTCACCTACCAGCTGTGCCACACCTACGTCCGCTGCACGCGCTCCGTCTCCATCCCAGCACCGGCCTACTACGCCAGGCTAGTGGCTTTCCGAGCCCGCTACCACCTGGTGGACAAAGACCATGACAGGTGAGGCAGCCCTGGATATCTGCAAAGCACTTTATAACATTTGTTTGAGGACAGAGACTGGACATATTACCTACCAGAACAGCTCTCCTGGTTCCTGACAGTCAAACTAAGCTCTTCTCTCTGTCTTGCAGTGCTGAAGGAAGCCATGTGTCGGGCCAGAGTAACGGCCGAGACCCCCTGGCGTTGGCCAAGGCAGTTCAGATCCACTATGATACCCAGCACACCATGTACTTCGCCTGAGCTAGCGAGCATGTCAGCCAGTCCACCCGCGGATTCCCTTTCTTCTTCTTCTGTCTTTTTAATCTCTTATTTGCCAGTCTCTCTCTTCTTGTCCCACATCTCTCTCTTTCTGGTCTTGTCTCTTTCTCTTCACACTCACTCTACATTTTCTGAATCTGCACCAAAGCGGCTCTCGGACAGGGGGGGAGGGGGGGTGGGGGGGACCTGCTGTGTCTCAATATGTCCAGCAGGTTGTTTTTTTAATTTCAAGGAACAATCACCAACCAGCGTTCCCAATCGAGCCGCCTCTCAAACCAGCAATCAAGCACTGCAAACCTCGAGGGGTTTCCAATGCACAAAAGGAGAACGAAAACAAACCATACACACGTATACTACAAGTTGAGCCATTATTTTTGAGTTTGTTTTTTCTATGTGAATGTCTACACTCTTGTGTTTGTAAGATACACTGAGCACGGGAGTGGACTGGCACAATGTGTGTCGGTCAGCGCAGCTCTTTAGCTCTCCCAGCTAAGCAGGACTCTTATCTACTTTTACCTCAAAGCCCCTTTGGGCAAAATCTGTCAAGTCTTGGGTTTATTGGGTGGTTGGGAGGGAACTCTACATGAAAAGAGATGGAGGGGAGTCGACCTTTTGAGAATGATATATATATTTTTGTTTTCCTTTTTATGAGTGTGTGTTTGAAACTTTTTCTCCTTTTACGGTCTTTAACAAGCGAGGTGACCTGGGTGTCCATGCCCATTACTGTTTTCCTCCCATCTTAGCGAAGAAGACGCGAGTCTGTACGTGTGCGTGCGCATCTCTGTATATACATGTACTGCTGTATGAGTGTGTGTGTGTGTGTGTGTGTGTGTGTGTGTGTGTGTGTGTGTGTGTGTGTGTGTGTGTGTGTGTGTATGTTTCATGGCAGGCCACTGAATTGTAAAGGGAAATCAAGGAGATAACTGCTGTAAATGCCTCAGATTTGTTGTTTTTTATATTCACACATACAGTACATATAAGCATATATTTACATCTATAGAGCAACTTTGAGACATATGACTTAAACGGGCCTCCTGGAGGCTGCTGTGGGTATTTGTAGCAGCCCTGGGTCACTTGTTGATTGGAATGCTTTGAGTTACATTTTTCTTTTTTAAACGTTTGGGGATTTGCACATTTGGGAGCCGGTTGCTGATTTTGTGCCTCAAAGTGTCATTGTATCCCAGAAAAAGGCAACTAAATCCATTTCAAGCAGCAAGTGAAGTCAGGTCTGACTGTGTAGCAGTGGTAACCGTGGTCTGGCCCGAGGCTGGCTCAGCTTCGGGACCTGTTGAATGGCTGAAGGCATTAAACGCAGAGTATGGTCTTTATCAGCCTTGCTGTCTGTGTCAAAAGCAGGATCTTATTTTTCTTTGGACCTGATTATCTGAAAGACTATATGATGACACTGCTGGACGTTGCATTTCATTTTCTTTGTTTTGTTATAGATGTAGTATCAAGGGCCGGAAACCAACGTAGTTTTTTGAGGTCTCCTTTGCTAATATTGGCCAATTCATTGCACTGACCCGGGACGCTAGGCAAGCAACAGAGGGCACTCTCAATCTCTCTTAACTTTATGCATTTATACATACGAATCAACAAAGCAGATTTGTAAAAGTTTAATATAAGATGTTTTGTGGTTATCTTAAAAACAAACAAAAAAACCCCCCAGTTGTTTAGAATTAGTAGTTTACCATGGATGTTGTTATCGTTGTCAATGTTGTTACTATCGTGATGAAATGTTATGGTCGGCAGCGAAGCCAGTGATCTATAGTTACTAGTGCGACTTCAGGAATAGACATCAGTTGTTGAGCTGCAGGTTAGGGCGCAGAGCTTTGGGTTTGGACATTCTTTTGTAGCATTCTGGCTAACGGTGAGAAGAAGTAGGCCCCCGGGGTGGATGAATCCATGCTTCCTCTGTTGGTTCTGATGTGCGAGTGAAACGCAGCGGCAGATTGGAGTTATTGTGTAGCACTCGGACTGGTAAATCAGGTCTGCAGCTGTGTACGTCTCTCAGCTGGTATCGGTTGGTTTTGATCAGATAGATTGAGACAATCGGGGATTGTCATCAGAATGAACCTAGATTAAGGGATTTGTTTAAAAAAAAAAAAACGGTTTGCGATAGGAAATGAGTTGAATTTTTAGACTTTTTAAAAATGGTTTCTATTACTCTGTGTATTTGAAGTATACCCACCTTAAAGTCTCTGCTATTTGACGGTGTTTGTCTCATATTTTTATGCATTTTGAACACTGGATTAAATGAATTGACAATAAGCATAAGCACTGCCCATGGACCCCCTCCCCCCTGTGCAAACTGTCACCATGGAGGCCATGGCTCGCTGTGGTGATGGCTGCACACGTGGTGCCCCCTTCAGTCGCGATCGGGTGAAGCGTTTTGGAGAACCGGTCGACGTGCACGCCTCATCAGGAGGGGACCGCTCAGTGAAAACCCTTTTGTAATAAACCACCCGTAAAGCAGCAGGTTTACTATGAATGAGTATGAGCACCTGCCTGTTGAAGGCGTGGGCGTTGGCAGCGGACAAGAGCAGAGAAGCAGGGTGGTGGAGGAGGAGGAGGAGGAGGAGGAGGGGGGGTAGGGAGGGTGTCGTCCAGGCATTGCATGCAATAAGTTCTAGTCTGTTGAAAAGGGGGGGGGGGGGTGGGGGTCAGTTTTTAAAACGTGCACTAGTTTCACCAAGCCGCGTGGGCTGTGATTGAACATTCATGTGGCATCTTGGACGGGGAATAATTTGTCCTTAAACTCGTCGTCCGATAGATGAGCACTCCCTTTGTTTGTAACATGACATTGCAAAGCAATATTTACCCAGTTGTAATTTTTCAAATGTGGAAAAACAAAGCTATAATTCTACTCATTGTGGTTGTTGGTCTCTCACTATTGTGTATCTGTACTTTAATTTGTTGTTTTTTTTCTTTTGTTTTTTTTGCTTGTATCAATCAGTGGGAATGTGCATTTGGTGGAATAGTTACGTAGGCTTTAGACAATTTTCTTTAAAGTAACAACATTTAGACTTTGCTTGCCTGCATGCCAGAGTTTTGTCCTTTTAACAGAAAAAAAGTTTTTGGGAATCATATTTATTATGAGAAAGGAAAAAAAAAAAAATGCTTTTTGGGGGGGTGGGGGGTTGAATGTTTATCAATTTAGTGGGACTGTTTTAGGCTAGCAATATCTGTCAAGTCTCTCTTAAGATGCTTTTTAAAGATTCCTACACAAATGTCAGTGATTTGGGAGGTACAAGCTCTTCTCTGAAGGGGGGGGGGGGGGGGGCTCTTTGCATCGCGTCCATATTCAAACGAGGTACTTTCTTCAAACGTGGACCCGTTAAAGACCCAACCCCTCTTCTCTTCGCCAGGTTACCGTAGTGAGTATCTATTTAGTCTCCTCGTTCCTGGTTTGTACCTGTGGCCATGCCTCTTGGTGGGGGGGGGGGGGGGCTCTCCTGTCTCCATGGCAACTCTGCTGACCCCTCACAAATGCACTTCCTCTTTGTGGAGGGGTCCCCATGGCATCAAGGGAGCAGGATTACCTCTTTTTAACCTTTTTAAAAACGATCCATAATTCTTTCTGTGCCCCGATAGAGAGCATGAATTATTTTTAAATTCCTCTCACTTTGATATATTGTTATATCTTTACGGATTTGTAATTTGACATTGTGTATTGTGTATGTTCATTTTTCTTTTCCCTCTTTGGTTCCTTTTGTTTTTGGGGGGTTGTTATAGCTCTGCTCTGTTCATTTTGTTTTGTTTTTCTGCTAGTGGTCTCTGAAGCTGCGTGTGAGTGTCTGACAGCAATAGAATCACAGAATTGAAGCGTTCCAATTCCGTGATTGGAATGCTCCGATTCTGTGAATGGACGGAACCCTTTCTGACCGGTTGTGAGGGGGCGGGGCATGTTCTTGCTCCACCCCCCCCTTACAGAGAGCCATTCACTCGCTGTTATTGCTTTTTTGTGACATGTTCAAATACTTTTTTTTTTTTTTTTTTTTTTTTAGCCTGCAGGGAATTCTTGTGTTTATGTGCAAAGTAATAAATTGGTATTTTATGCCTATAAACGTAGCCGTTGTGTTCTCGTCATTGATAGGACTCCTACAGTGTGTCCTGATTGACTGTTTAACACCAAGGTCTGAGTGTGCACGTGTCTTGTCACTAGATGGCATTCTTCACCAGGGGACGTACATGGGATCACAAGAGTACTAAGAACAGTGAAACATTAATGATCTATCCTCTTTCTCGCCTTGATGGTTATCTTAGAGCAGCTGAACGATGCATGAAGATATCTAACTCTCTTTACACACCTGTGTTCTGTCCACAGTGACCAGCGTAGAGGAGTTGTTAACCTGCAGGTTAACAACTCCTTCTCTTTACACTGAGATAGTGTATGGACCTATGGGCTTTACCACACTAGAACACGTGTATACTGGTGCTCGGGGCCTAGGCGAGTCAAATGCTAAAAAATGTATTAATGAAGCTGCCGGTACTCGGGCAAAACAAAGGAAGGAATAGGCTGTTCTGTGTTACTTAATAATACATCTTTAGTGCTTTATCAATCTGTAACCAAAGTCCACTGCATTTACAAAGTATTCAAATTATCCCCTTACATTTTTCTTTTTACTAGATCATACTACAAAGAGCTGCAGTGGGACCTGCCCCCCCCCCCCCCGGTGCCTCAGGTAAAAGAGGTCATGCAGTCAGCTGGTATGGCCTCTCTAGAACGAGAATTCATGGGATTCCCAGTAATTTCAATATAGTTGTAAGATGTCATTAAACCTAATGTCATTTCCCACGTGGTGCTAATGTATTCTCATGACAGTGAATGCCATGCAGCCTTACAATCGATAGCCATCGTTGGTATGTGTCACCTTCCTCTGCTTCCCTTTTGTGAATCATCCCGTGTCCTGGCCGGTTGTCATGACCACCGTTGCCAAGGAGAGCGGAGGCTACAGAAGAAAGGAAACCCGAACCTCGGATCTTGATGCCGTGATATTTAATTCATCGGCACACCGAGGGTTCAGCGTAATGCAGGTGGAGCGAGAGCGCTCTCGTGTAGAAGTGACGTTTCACAATGCGAAGACAAAAGAGGGGCTGTCGGATCCTTCTGTTACAGCCAAGCTCTGTTTTCTTTCTCCTCCTCGAGCTGTCATGCAATAACCAAAATAAATAAACTGATACAGACCAGCCAGTTGACGTTTCAGCCACAATTCTGTGAAATGTAATGAATGACACTAAACAAATCGGATAAAACTAAAAAGTCAAGTGTCAGAATTCAGAGTTTTATTTTTTGTCCAGATGACACAATCATACAATACTTTTTTTTTCTTTTTTTAAACCTGTGGCTTGTCAGCATTTCAACCAGTCGTTGGAGACTAAACAAAAAGACCTACGTCCCCTTATGTGAAGCTGTTTCTCCCTTTCATTGCAGACAAAAAGGGGGTAAGTGAAAGCTCCTTTTAAAACATGCCAGTTTGTGTGGTCAAAGCAATACAAAGTGTCTAATCCTCATTGTAGAGACACCCCCCCATGTTGTCTTTGTGTTAACTGATCCACCTACAAACGGCGCTCCATCCTCGGCCATCCCTCCCTCCCGCCTTTTGTTATCTCACCCTCTTTTGCCCTCTCCCTCCCGCAACGTTTTTTGTTTTCCTGGGGTTCATTGTTGCTCTGGCAGGTTTGACTGTAGAGACTGCAGTGCTGAAGATGGGAGGCGGTGAACAGATTATCTACTTACCCACAAGTCTCGCTATACGGCCCTGATTTGTTATCGGTTACCCTTGTCTGGAACCAGGACTGACCCATTTGGGCTTGCGTTGCTACCGGAGGAAGCGGTTGGGGGCGGGTGAAGCCGAGCAGCAGGGTGAAGCCGAGCAGCAGCTGAAGTGGCCTCGTCGAGGCTTAGACCTCAGCGCCGTTCATCGACAACAAGGAGATACTTCAGCTGGCAGCAGCAGTGTCTGATGACTAGTCCTCTGGAAACCTGTGCTTTCTTTTTGAATTAGAGACGGATTTAAAAACCAGTCTGCTGCGAACTCTTTGGGGGGGGGGGGGAAACCCTGGAATAACCTCTTGATTGACTCTTAAACAGCCGATTGTTCATCTCAACGGTACGATTGTCTCGTTCATTCCTTGAGGACCAAATATTGAATCTCTGTCGACGAGGTAAAAATTTTTGTTCCGTGTGATCTCCCTTTTTTAACCTTGCTGTGACAGGATATACTCATAGCTGCATCGGTGGCCTTGAACCCAAGTATCGGGTTGTATCGGGCTGATCCATCTCTGTAAGGCTACACCATACCAGGAGTGTGACACTGAAGCACACTGCAGCTCAATAATTGGCCCTCTGGATTTGAACCGGAGCTGAAGGCAAAGAAACTTCCACTGGGGGAAAAAAAGAAAAGCTGTCTGGCTGGCATCCATTTCATCCACAAGGCCGATCGATCCCGCTACCGTCGGCTGCCACAGGTGGCTGCACAGCTATCGGCTACTCAATAATGCATTGACTCAAAACAAGGGATGAAGAGGAGGAGAGAGTGCCTCTAATCCTTTTGGGGGGGGGGAGAAAAGGTGCATGACTGGAGAGAGAAAGCGAGTGATTATTTCTGAGTAATGGTGATTTGAGGCCACGTGGGAATTAAAAACAAGTGAGCAGATGTTGAAGAGGAAAAGGAAAAGAGAAGAGAGTGGCTGCTGACAAAGTGGCTTTGGGGCAAAGGCCGTAGGAAGCGTGTCCAAGCCACACAGGAAGGGGACAAGGAAACCAAAGGAGTAGACTTTGAATACCACAAAGAAGGATAACTAACGAAATAAGAGACGACTGTAGTGAACAAAGACCTGCGATTCCTCAAAGATTGGTCTAAAAAAAAAAAAAAATTTATATATATTTGTCATCATGGTGAACACCGGCATGCAGCTGATCAGCTTCACCTGCGCGGTGACGGGCTGGATCATGGCGATCGCCGTCACGGCGCTGCCCCAGTGGAAGGTGTCGGCCTTCATCGGCAGCAACATCCTGACTTCGGAGATCAAGTGGGAGGGCATCTGGATGAACTGCATCTACCAGACCACCGGCCACATGCAGTGTAAGACGTACGACTCCATGCTGGCCTTGCCCCCGGACATCCAGGCGGCCCGCGCCCTCATGTGCCTGGCCATCTTCATGGGCTGGCTCTCCTGCACTGTGTCCTGCTGTGGCATGAAGTGCACCACCTGCGCCGGCGACGACCGCCGCGCCAAGGCGGGTATCGCGCTCTCCGGCGGGGTCCTCTTCATCCTCACCGGCCTGTGCGTGCTGATTCCCGTCTCCTGGACCGCCAACACAGTCGTCCAGGACTTCTACAACCCCAACGTGCCGCTGATGCACAAGCGGGAGCTGGGTCAGGCCATCTATCTGGGCTGGGCGTCCGCCGTCATCCTCATGATCAGCGGAGCGGTGCTGAGCAGCACCTGTCCCCTCATGGAGAGGAGCGGCAGGTACCGCCGCGGCTACATCGGCCGGAGCTTCGCCAACTCGCCCGCCTCGGCACCGGATCCCCCGAAACCCATCACGTCTAATAGTGTACCATTAAAAGAGTACGTATAGGAAGAGGTGGAGGGAGAACCAGTTAAAGGGTTGATGCTGTTATTTTCCTAAATGTACTCAAGTTTTAAGTCTGTGAATTTTAAGCTTTAAAATGAAATATATATATTTATTAATATATCCATCCTGTATTTTGTATATCTCCTTGTAATGTTAAAACGTGTCTTTGGTACTTTGACGTTTTGTTCGCTGCGCTATGATTAACAGTAGTGCCTGAAGAAAGCCCATCGCCTGTATCGTCAAATCCAGTTTGACCGTCGTGGTGGCTTTAATGATGGCCTGTGTTGTGAAGATTGTGGTGAGTTGCTCAGCAGCTGTTCTCTGACATGTCGTTACCCCCTTCGTTTGTCACATAAAGCCTTGACTTGATTGTGCCTGCATCGAACGTGTGAAATAAAACCAGTTTGTTACAGAGTGCTTCACTCACTGCGTTGTGTAACCGTCTTTGTCCCTTTGTGTTCTGGTTGTTGCTCTAAAGTACATTTGGTTTGGGCCATGACAGGACGCCACAGGGTCATTTTTTTTAAAGTAATTTCCTCATGTCCTTATAAAGTCTGGTCCATGCACACACCTCCCATCCAAGGCCGCGTCTAGGGACATTTATTTAACAAAATAAAAAATCTGGTCATGTCCACGGGGTATACATCCATGTAGTTCTGCATGTTTGCTCTTCTCTTCTAGCCCCGTCGTATAAAATCAAGTCCGATTCAGAAGCTCAGAGTTCCACCTGTGTCGCTTTTACTCTCTTCATTGGGACTCGGTAAAGAAGGACACTTTGCAAAGTGTATCTGAAAGAAGACAGAGAAGCAATTAGTTCACCTACAAATCTTTTTGCCCCCTCCCTTCCACTGCTAACACTGACAGCTAATGAAACAGACATAGATTTGGCAAAGCGTTGGCCTCTGGTCAGCTTGTATTAAAACGAGTTATATAAACTGACAGACTAAACTAAAATGCTAGAGAAGGTAATATATCAAACATGTTTCTGGCATTCCTGCTTTAGGATTCTAAAAAAAAAACAAAAGGATACTGCTGCTCCAGAAAACATGACTTTTCATAGTTTGGCTTTAATCGATGACAATACACAAATCTACCAAAAACCTTTTCAATACTTGATAGTGGCCAGACTATTTTAAACTCCATTTACCTGTGATGTGGTCCTCTGCACTGGGACACTCCAAGGATTTCCATCTTTTGTGAGCAGATTCTAAAAGGGATAGATCATCTGCCCTCAGAGTCAGCAGCAGAGTCTTCCTCCTCAGAAATCTGAGCGCATGAATTTAGGTAAAAATATATATATTTTTTGAAAGACCCCAAACCCCAATGCAAACGTGAACAAAGGATACTGCTGCCGATAGTGCCGCTCGGCATCCTGCAGCCACTCCAGCATGTCGGACACTGAGGGGGCGGTGGCCGAGCGCTCGGTTACGGCGAGCAGGTCCAGACTGTCTGTGCTCTGCTCGTAAAGCTGGAAGACTGCAGAGACCTGGTTACTGATGGAATCCCTCACGGACTGTAGAGAAGACCTGAGGGAAAGAGATAGGATGGATGCCATGGGTCAAAATCCATAATGCAGTTGATTTTTTTTTTCTGTGGCAGAATAGAACGAAGTAGCTATGAATAGTCTCGTCGGTCATCTGCACCGCACCTCTACGTAAAAGACGGTGCGAGGAACGGGGTGTGATGCCGATTCAGACTGCAATGTCGCCGTCATTCTACTGGGTGATGGCACTTATTAACAGTATGTCGCTGATGTTTTATACAGCTTCCCACTGCCAGAGTGGTAATTCTTACTGCTGCATGATATTTGAGTGATTCCCTGTTACACTGGTAGATGCCACGTTGAACTGAGGATGTGTCGATGGTCTCGTGTTCTGTCGTCACATGCCAGCCCAAAGTGATACCTGCTAGTAAAACAAGTGTGCCATAATATTTGTGAGTGACGTAATCCAGCAAAAATAGTAGCAGCATACCAATGATCAACCGTGACATCGCCAACTAAAACAGACTAGCACGCCAATAAGCAGGTGGGGGGGGGGGGGGGGTCGGTAGAGCCCCATAGCTCACATATGCCCAGAGACCCTCTAGCATGTAGAGCTGGCCCTGCATGCCTGCTGTTAAAACAAGTGATTATTAAGTAACCGCAGTCTGCTAGATGCCAAAAATAAATGTGTAGATCTGTGTGCATCATCACTGCAGTCTTGCAGGCTTCATTTGTGTTGCACTATTTACTTACGTCTTCTCGTTGAGCTTGCCCAGCACCGTATCCGTGGCTTGAGAGAGTTTAAAACGCAGCCGTTCCTCCAGGTCAGGAAAGTCTCCGAGCGGCGTGTTGGAGATTTGGACGTTGGAAAGCGCTCGCGACTGCTCCGCCAAGTTCCCGAGAGACCCCATCAGAGGGCTGCAATCGGCCAACACACTCTTCCATACTTTCTGGTTGCTTTCGAGAGTCTGGAAGCTTTTCCTCAGCGCTTGATGAAGTGACGTTAGCGCAGGTTTGGACATTTCAGATGTTTTCGTTTGACCACAAAATTAAAGCCGCGCGTGCCCAATAAACGGATCTTAGTATTTCAATTATTGTAGTCAGTTTTTTTGATCAACAGACTACTTTCCCACGTTCAACCATTTAAAAGTGAGGTAATATTAGCCGCTAATAACATCTCTCCCTACCATGCTGCGTTGCCTGAACCCACTTCCGTCCTCCTGATGTCAACACTGACGTTTGGCGCTACAATTGGTCGAGAACCATTTTTCAGTGACGTAAAGCAAACGCGAGTTGTAATTGGCTGAGTTTAGGTCCGGCCCCTCCCCGCGCCGACATTTGAAAACTGCTTTGTGAAGAAAAGAAGGGTGTCCGACGAAGAACAAAAAACATATACAGGTAACTGTTAATAAAATATGTATCAACAACTCATTATTAAATGCGTGCGTGTGAAGGAAACTGACAATAAAGCAAGTCAGTCAAACTACGAGCTAGCGTTAGCAGAACAAGTGACGTTAGCTTTAACCGTTAACTGTTAGCTTGCTAACGTTAATTAGCTCAACTACCAGCCAGCCGCATGTCGGTGTATATGCTTTCATCAACTTGGTTGAATTATAAAGCGTTACTTTGTATCCTGTTGATATTACTGCCTCATGTTGGTAAATGTGCTTTGTTTCCGCTGTCTGTCCGTGTAGACATGGCTCCCAGGAAAAGGACGACCAAACAACGGAAGATCAACCCCAAAACGAACAAGCTGGAGGCTTTTCTGGATGATTTCGACAGTGAAGGTGAATATATTTCTCTTGTTTTTTTTGTCTCTGCAGCTTCTTCAGCATACATGGCACTTTGTAAAGCAGTGCTCTGTGAAATATCCTAAATACATAGCATTTTACCACCAATCTAAGGCAGGCCCGCTGTATGTTGCTGGGTACAAGCTCCTCAGGACCATTCCAGTGGTGTTGGTATGCAGAATGAGCCCTTTCATTCAATGCTATATCATTACAGAGGGCGACACAGATATAGACACTGGATGAATATTGTATGATATACATACATACACATCCATTATTAAAGAATTGTGACCAAGATATGTACTGAGCCCGACGCTGTACTGCTAACTCAATATATACTAATACTGATGTAGGTTGTCTGTAGCAGACTGAAATCCGTCAATAGTATCCATCGGGTTTATATATCATTGTATTATCATTACTGATGCATCGTCATGTGAGCCAGTTTGAACTACGACTGGGTTGTGTAAACTAAAACTTCTTGCTGTGTTTTCACAGTGAAGACCAGAGTTGGATATATGAAAGAGAAGATCAACCAGCTGCTGAAAGATGTGGACAACAACTACAACATGGCAATAATTAAGCTCCCCAAGGCTGTCAGACAGATGACCTGGTTGGAGCATTTCAGTGAGTTGACACAATGAAACCGGGTGTTATTTATATCATATAAAATGAGAAAGCGTTGCTTATATATCTTTTTAAACATAATTGAATGAAAAACATTTGCCCCATCTCTTTGTAGGGACTGAGAAACCAACATCCCCAGAATTGGACAATATAAATGTGAGTTGATTATCTTTCTCATGATCTTACATCATGTATAATGATTCACAATGTGTCACAAGTTTCATAATCTGTGGAGGCCCGCCCTGTGCTGTACTAAACATCCGTTCTGTTCTTGATTCACGTCTATTCGTCAACAGAGAGACGAGGAAGCTGCTATTGTTGAAAGCGTTGTGGCCGAGGACCACGCAGTCCTTCTGAAATCAGTCAAGAAAAGTATGTTAAAACTGCCTTTTCAGTTTTCTTTTCAAGGCAGGACACCCCAGGCAAACAGTGTTTCATTCACTGGTCAAATCTTTGAGAGTTTGGGCTATTTTGCTTCTGTAACATCTGTCACACTAGTGGAAAGAAAACATCCCAAATACACATTTAAGTGTTTATCTCCACTTCAGCAGCACTTGCATACACCAAAATTTCCAGTTTCATTCCAATCTATATTCTGGAGTTTTTTTTTTTACAGAGGAGTCTGTTCATATATTATTCATAGCCAGATTTATAGAAAGTTTCATTCCAAAATAATTCATTTTTTTTATGGCTGTTGACAGTATTTTCTGAAACCTTTGACTCTAATGTATCTACAAAATAATTTAGCGCCTGGCTTTATCCAATGTTCCAGTTTCTGTTCTGGAAATGTGTGCAAATCAGCAGATATTTAATAACACAATGCCTTGTTTGCATATTTAAACATAACATTTCAGAAAATATAAATAAAAACTGCTTTAATGTAAGTAATGAACCGGGGAGGTTTCATGGGGGTATCTATGAGTTCATTTTCTTTCTCCTATTAACCCGGGGTGTCTCCCCGTAGGTATCAACAATGTATTGATGCTACTTTGGACCGATATAGACTGAACAAATTCCTTCACTCCAGTCAAGAATTTAAGGTTTGGAAAATGATCTCATCCTGTTAATTTTGTCTCCAACTCACAGCATCAAAGAAAAAAGGTGGCACCAAATACAGGTCAGGGGATGAAAACACCCCGAGCACAACACGGAAGGTAGTGGCTGGTTCTTTTCTTTCTCTCCATTCAAACATGCATATGAGGAAGAAAACACAGCGGAGTGTTTGAGAGCATCACTGATCATAAATATCAGAGTGGCTGCCACTTTATGTGTAACTGCTTGTTCCTGATTCAGGGGAAAGCAACAAGGAAACCTCCAACTACATCAAAAAGAGCAAAGGCGCTGGCGGTCGCCATGCAGAACACCTCGATCAGACGGTGAGACTTTACTTTCGTTATCTCGTCTCTTCTTGCACGTTCAGCGTCTTCGATGATGTCGGACCAACACGTCTGTCTGGTTTCAGATCAAGCAGGAAGGCGTTGGTCACTCCTGCCAGGAGCATGCTGAACTCTTCTTTGATGATGGGCCCCACCCCCCTCATCACCCCGCGCTTCGACCCAAGGTGAGCAGGCATTCTGGTTCCAGCTGCCGGTTGTTATATTGAAACACTACTGCTTTCTCCTTGTTACTGCAACAAAGGATGATTCAGTCCCTGTGAATTAATGCAGCTCATATCAGTTTATTTGCACCAATGTAAAGTCTAATAGTTGAGGTTAGATGTCTCTGTCCAAATGATGTGATGAATAAAAACAGAGAGCATCATGGGAAACTGTCTCCTAAATATAAGCAAGTGCATGTTTAAACAACTAAAATATTATATCAAATCTCTGGATGATTTTTAAAACGCTTGGTTTTTTATAAATCTGATCTGTAAGTGGATTTAGCATCTTTTTTATATGTATTACATTATTTGCGGCACTGGAGACTTGCTCTCGCAGCTATCTCACTAATTTGAGACAAACGCAGCTGTAACGGAGTAACTAGTGCAATTTGAACTCACCTGGATCTTCTTTTTTAAATCGGAGACGTCACGCAGCCAGGGGCTTCATGGCACTCACCATTCAAGCTTTGTTTCCTCAGGCTGCCTAAGACCCCCGCTGTGAGGAATCCCCGCCACAAAGAGAGGGTTTACAGCATTTCAGTCAACGGCTCTCCCATCGCAGCAGGAAACGAGGACATCGTCATCAACCTCCCCATCGGCAACGGAGAGGTACGACATTAATTACCAGTTAGGCTGCTGCTACTGTCGTTTCAATAGAACAGTTCATTACTTACTGCAACACGATACTCTATGACATGATAATACTTTAAGTACGTGTGTTAGGCCTGTTTTTATGGTTACTTAAACCATTGTGTTATAGTTACTGCATGTCTTGTATTATGTTGATCCAGAGCGTCCAGCTTCTGGCCAGTCAGATAGACTCTGTGGACTTGTCTCAGCTTGATGAAACCGCTCTGAAAAGCATTCGGCTGCTGCAGGTAAGTTCATCACTTGTGTGGTATCTCTGTGGCCCTGTTTTGCTACACAATTTAGTGTAGCATTAGATGTGAAATATTTGCGCATGCATTTATTGTCATTGTTTTTTTTTCCCCCACTTCTTCACAGAATCGACTCACAACCCTGTGTGCAACAGCAGAGTGACCCGACTTGTACATTACTTTTTTACTTATTTTATTTGTCCTGCAAGCCCTGTAAGACTGTTAACTCTGCAAATATGATTTACTGCTCATTCTTTGATTTGTAAGTACACTCTAATCTTACATTTTAGTGTGTGTGTGTGTGTGTGTGTGTGTGTGTGTGTGTGAGAGAGAGTGAGAGGGTTTACTGGGGACTGCAATGTGTTGGTTGATAAGAGCAATAAGGCAGCATTTCTCCATAGAGGTTTTACTTGTCTGTGCTTTCTCTCCAGTTGTAACCTGTCCTCAGTATAAAAGCTGTGGACATTAGACCAAAATATTGACGTAAAAGCTGTTTCAATACTTATTTCTCCTGCTGATGATCACTCACAATCTTGGTATTTGCTTTGACACCTTAATATGGTTTTACTTCAATGTACATCATTATATATATTTATGGGAAACTAATAAAACGTTGTTGTGCTGCAGTACACCGCTGATCTTTGTTTAGCTCATGGTGGCTGGCTGCTTGATAGAGTGGCTCTGCATTTTTGCTACCATAGCAGTTATTTTCCTCTACAGCTGAACACGCTCTTGATTTTGCTTGTGTAAGAAGTTCCTCTTGTCCTTTTCGCGACTTTGTTTTTCGCAGAGGGACGTGGGGGGGGGAGGGTCACGTGGTGTGCTGTTGGCAGGAAGTGGCAGTCTGTCCTGCTGCTGGCACACAAACCTGCACTCTGACCTTCGGGGACATCATAACACTGCCAATTAAGAGGCTCGTTAAGCTTCGTTAGGCCTGATGAGCTCGTTAGGGTTTCCACCTGGGATGATTGTGGGTCAGGCCGGGCCTCACCGTGGGCCCTGACAGACAGCTGTAACTCTTTGCTATTCCCGCTGGATTCTCGTGCTTTATATGCTACCAAGCCACGGCACGGGGAACTCTGTGCCCCCCAGCTGAAAGCCGGGCCCCGGTCCCATCCATCTTAAGCGCTTTATCATCTGCTGTCTCTCGCCTGCAAACTGTGTTGCAGAGGTAAAAAACAACAGAAAACCAAGCTCTGCATACCCACAAACGACAGATGTTGTGGTCAGCGGTGCGTGCAGTTCAGCTCCCTCGTTAGCGGAGCACCGAGCCCTCGCGCACCTGCTCTACGTATCACAGAATTTTCCTACTTTTGCCTCTGAATGTATTGGATCCTTTTCTCTTTTTTTCTCCCTCCATTCTCTAGGTCGGTGGAAAATTGCCATTTTGCACGGATGGCTTGGTTTTCAGTAAGCATGCAGGCAGTGGCGCAGTGACGGGTGCGGTATGGATGGGGCGGATTTTGAGGTCACAGAGCAACACTGCTACATAAATCATCCGCCGAGATGTTCAGGATGAGGGACTGGAACCTGAGATAGTGGAAGGGAGACGCACAGTACAGAGAGCCTTCAACACAAGCAACTCTGCATTTCTGTCTATTCTGTGCAGTCCAAAGAAAATGAGATTTAATGCAACACATTCATGCAAAATGGGTTCATTAACACCACAGCAGCAATACTCAATATTTTTATATTTCTGATGTTACCATCATGGAGGGATTACTGAATCTTAAGTGTCATGGCACCCCCGCCCTGGCCTACACCTGCAAAATGTCTCTCAAAGAGAACTACTTACTGCAAAGAAAACTACAAATGGGGGGGCAAAACAACCTCAGAGATAAAAGGGCGCTGGAAAAATAACTGCGAAGACACAAAACACCAACCAGAAGGGGCTAAATAAATATAAAGTCTGTGTCTTGCTCTTATTTAGTAGTAGCGGTGCTGGGGTCTGTGAGTTTTCATCGAAGAACCTTGGGTACATCCCAAGTCTCTTGATTCTCATTTCCTCGATCCTCGCTTGAACCGGAAGTTGTTGTGCGCCGCCATATTGACGGCCGTCCCAAAGCTCTTATTTAGCTCTGAGGAGAGGAGGGGTCTCCGAGGAGCCATGAGCGAGGACCCACGAGAACAGACTTCCAGGAAGTCTTTTAACGGCCGACACGCCCCCTCATTGGTCATCTGTCATGTGATTGGACGCTGCAGCCGATCGGACTGACTGACTGGAGTTTAACACCAGAGTGAAGACAGATCACAGAATAAACTCAATCTTTATATTTGATTAGGTTTCTGATTCACCGTCTGGTTTAAATAAATGTTCATTGTAGTCTGAACAACAAAACGACCACAAACAACTTTCTTAATTTATTAGAAAGATTTGTGTTTTCATGATCTGATATTTCCCTCAATAACTTTTATTATGGAAACAAAGTCAGAGAGCTGGAGAGACGAAACACTTTTTACATCATTCCTGAGTGTTTGAGTTGTATCATTTAAGAGAAACAATAATCATATTCTGGGTTATTTAATAATGACGCCACAGTCACAATTTCAAAACGTACAGACTCAAATAATTCATAAATAAGACGATCACATTCCGCCGGTAGAAATGGATCCTGTGCTTATAAACAGAACACAGTTTGTTAACAGACTACAGAGAGAAAACACCTCTACACTGATAACTGTCTTTATTAGTCATCTGTATTATTAGTTGCTATTATTAAGTACAGTGATCATGTGAACAGACAAACTTATCTGCTCGCTCGAGAGTCTTTTACCTGCTCGCTCGCGAGCAGTTTTTCTTTTCGACAGTAAGTGGGCGGGCCTAGTCTCCATTGCATCTCTACATCTAATTGGTTACAATCCTCGTCTTGGGATAGACCGGATATCACTCTGACACAGACGCTAGGGGGAGATTTTCAGATTGCAGGTCAGGGGAAAATAATGTTTACATTGTTTACAATAACATTTTACTGCACGGGTACTTTTACTTTCTGCACTTAAAGTACATTTTGCTGATAATAACATTGACTAAGGTTTTGAATGCAGGTATTTTACTCGTAGTGGATTATTGTTTCATCAGTATGGTTAGTACGTTTACTGCAGTGAAGGATCTGAATACTTTTTCATCCACTAACTACTTGTCAGTGATTTAACAGTTAATATACAAACAGTGGTCCCTAATCTTGGCTCCAGATATTTGAACAGGTCCAAATTGTTGCTCATATTATATACAACTATATTATATTATATCTCTTCTGTAAACACAACACTATGATTAAATATGATCACATCATGTTTTAATCAATTAAGATCAAAGAGTTTCTTTGAGCTGTTTGTCACAAGAGGTTGGAGTATCAAACACACATTGTCTGGTTTAAATTCACTCCATCATTATATTACAATCTGAAGAACTTGACTTTAACACATTTTTAATTATTGTATTTAACAACTCTATTAACATAATTTGTATTTCATCAGCCTCTACAGTCTGAAAAGTTTACAAAACCTGTCAGACAAATGTAGAACATCCTGAGATGTAGTGGAGTAGTGTTTAGTGGCGGATTGAAAAACCACCTCTATCAGAACTAGCGTCTGTGTCAGAGTGATATCCGGTCTATCCCAAGACGAGGATTGTAACTAATTAGATGTAGAGATACAATGGCGACTGGGTCCGCCCACTTACTGTCTAAAGAAAAACTGCTCTCGAGCGAGCAGGTAAAAGCTTCGCGAGCGAGCGGGTTTCAGCTTCGCGAGCGACTTTTGCTTGCGCGAGAGTGAATTCTGCTCGCGCGAGATGACATTTTGCTCACGGAGTGACGTAAAAGCGCTCGTCAAAGTAAAATACGTGCGCGGCTGTTTGATTTTCGCGCGCGCATGGATCTCATTTGCGCTCTAGGATTTTGACAGTGATTTGCCTTCATAGAAACGGGGATGCAATTAAGAGACTTGAGAAGTACCCACAGGCTTCGAAGCCTCGACACGAAAGGTCACATCACTAGTATTAACACCACCGAAGAAGATTCTTATCCAGGAAGTGGTCGTTCGTGTTTACACCGCGCGATGCTGTGCGTTCAAACAAAGATCGTGTTTAGCTTCATTCTCCTTCGTGTGTGTGACAGAAATATATCGAGACTTCAGAGTCTGAAGGTGTTCATGAACCAGCGGATGACCGCGGCGGTCGAGGAGATATTTGGACATTTTGAGAGAACGATGGCCGAGTACGAAGAAGAGATGAACCGCCGCCATCTTGATATGATCGATATGGTTTCAACACCTGAAGCAAAGCTGCGGACAGAAGCAGGTTCGTTCTTCTCTCTCTTACTTCCTCCAATACAAAGAAAGAATGCTAAGCTAACGTTAGCCAAAACCGCCCTGTTAGCGAGCTAGCTAAAGACTGGCTGACTATATATATAATATGACTACATATTATATTGTGTGTTTTTACAAACATTGATGACAGAGAGATATACCGTTTAGTCTTCATGTATGATGCAGGTAAATCTATAACAAAACAAAGTCCACACAGATTTAAATTGTGGCCTGTCGCCCACATTATATTTATTATAGTCTAATTATAAACTTCTCACCAATAAATACATTTTGTCCTGAATGATGTTGTAGAAATGTTTCCATGTAGGTCTCAAATAAAAGCTCTTGCTTTGGTTTATTGGTGCATATCAACAAACGCAGTAAGAGAATTAAGATAAATAAACGTTTATGGGTATAAAATTATAGAGCGTGATTTATTTTTTGGATTATGTATTGAAGTATGAGTGTTTAACGATTTTCTTCTTTAATTAAAGAAGTGATGCTTTCAGTAACTGTAAACGTTTTGTTAATGTAAACATCAAATCAGCTGCGAAACTAAAGACTGTCTTTAAACTTGACAGAGGAAACTATAAATAAGTAATCAGTGAAGTTATACAGTTGTAACAAAGCGTTTCTCTTTTCACCACGGAAACACATATAAAGATGCATTCATCTGTAAAGAAAATCAGGTTTTTATTTGGCCTCTGGTATTAATTTGTTCAACGCTCTTACCAAAAGATCTAAATGCAGAATTGTGATATTTCTGTTACTTACAGATGTTGTTCAGAGACCTGAGATGTCCGATTGAACACTGTGGAGCTGTTTGATGATCTGTAGAAGTTCAGTAACGTCTCAGTGTGTGTTTCCTGTTTTCCTGCAGATGTCCAGCAGCTGTTGGTGGTTAAAGAAGAGCAGCAGGAGTGGAGCTCCAGTCTGGACCAGGAGGACCCAGAGCCCCCACACATTAA